CTTTGCCCTTTGAGAAACTGTTGTGGTAGGATCCACCTAATTTGCATAGTGGAGTACCGACCATATAAATATGGTTGGTACCGGGAAGAGAGGAGGAATCAAGAGTTTCAACCAGAGACTCTGCCCGACTGCGACTCAGTCAACACATTCTCCAGGAACGGTCTTACCAGGAATATACAAAAGACTATATGTAAATATTGTGTACACTTTCTTGTTTCAATACATTTTGTTCTAAGTACATTTTGTGTTGCATTATTATTCCATGCATTAGTCAAGTTTCAACAGAAACCAACTTGAAGTCTTCCATTGCTACTAATGAATTCTTTGTTTCAGGGTATCTTCCCTTTTGATTCCAGTATTCACATGCATGGCCTTGATGTTTACATCCAGGATAATCTTCCAATGACGAGAGAATTGTTTCCCGAGGCTGCTAACTACTCCTTCATGTGTTTCCGTCTTTCGCTACTAAACTCTGTCAGCTATCTCTTTTTCCTTTATCGCTCCCTCTCTTCCCATGTCTTCAGTATATTAGACGCAATAGCTGACAGTATAGAAAAGGCACTTCCTCTCCATCAATCTGCGAAACTTTGTCTTCACTGATATTAATGCTCACCACGACATTCTAAAGTTATTGGTGTTGCCAGTAAGCAGACATTAAATTTTTCCATTTCCCAATCTCTAACTCAAATCTTAGACTTCACTACTCGTTTTCCTAACCAAAACGAGCAACATGCTTCACTATTGGATCTGTTTCTTACCTCCTCTCATTTTGCCGAGGTTCACAATACTGCTCTCTTGGAAACTTGGATCTCTCTGTGGTAGCTATTTATATCTCCTTCCACGCATCCATTTCCACGCATCCATTTACGTTACCAGAACGCTGATGGGGACTATTTACAGGATTTTCTCCGTGACGCCCATTGGAGTGATATGTTCAAACCTCCAACTGAAAATAGAGCCACGGATGTTTTTTTCTTGGATCAAAGCCGGCATGGACGCTTTCATCCCTTCTCAGAAATACAAGGTAAAACCGCAATCCTCTCCATGGTTCACGCCAACATACTCGACCGCCCTAACACATAGTAACCACTATTTCCGGCTATACCAGCGTGACAGTTCTCGTCATTACAGGTGCCTATTTGCTAGTGCTCGTAACAAATATAAGCGAGTCCTCGAAGTAGCTAAGTCCTTGTGTGCTGAGAAAATGAGGCACCACATAGCCTCTAAAATCTTTGGATCTCGTGACTACTGGAGGCTCTGTAATATGGTACAGAGTAAGTGCAATATCTCTATTCCCCTTACTCTTCAATCGATTTGAGGTGCTATCGTCTTCTGTTGATAAAGATGAATGCCTTTCTTGTAATTTCTCCTCAAACTCTTGACTCATCTCGAGTACCCCTGCCTAACTTCTCACTTAGAACTGATACTTTGTTGTGATATACATATAACCGCTTCCATGGTTT